ACATCAGTCCAAAAGCAATTTATGTTTAAATGTAAAGTATATTTTTCAGTCTTCTTATTTCAACCCTCTTAGGTGAGATGAGCCGTGGTGCTGTCTTTTTTTATTGATTTCTTAGAGAGAAGAGTCTCGAGAGCTGCTGAAGTGGAGTCGTTTTGTGGCGTTGCTTGTTGACAGCAAGCATCGTTTGCAGAGCTGAAATGACAACCATTTCAATGCCTGTTAAAATCCGGCTGCAGCCAATCACAAATATGGGTTATTGTGTTTTGGATTGGAGATTTTCCTCTGTCTTTCTAGAAAGAAACCGCAGTGTTTCCCTAGATTTGTATTAAGATAAAACGAGTTTAAATGTTCAAAACACTAAATCTCTACACACAAACCTGGATGATAATGTCCAACAAAATGAGTTTTCATAAATCCACAGTGAATGTTCATGACTCATCTCTCTACTGTTTTCTCTCTTTATCTTATTTCCCGACCTCTCTCTTCCAAATGTTAAACGCATCCTCAATCTCAGACTATAGCAGATTTGACAAATAACAAACCAAAGAGGTGAGACACCTCATCAGCCCTGAATTTCTCCCCCGGCAACATTGAGGAATGAAAGTGAAGGAGATGACGCAGTGAAACGGAGGGAGGCCAGAGCTCTTCATCAGCCTGATGGATGAGGTGTTCAGGGTGTTTCAGTGTAAGCTAAACATCGCTCACACCTCCTCCATCATCATCCCTCACCAGCATCATCCCTGTGTTTTACTCAATCGATGTAATTTCATGGGCTTTTTAATCCAAAACAACCTCCCAGTGCAGCACCGTGATTAACTTAACAGCCCTGTTTCATTATGATACATGTTGGGAATCTGATTCATTTCAACAATTGGAAGAAAACTCAATCCATGTTTTCTGTACTTGCAGAAACAGGTGACTGCATGAAACTGGAATCATTTTCCAAGAAAGCAAATCAAAGACAAGTTGCTCAACACAGAGCAGGTCAACAGCAGCATGACAATGTAAAGTCATGTGAACCTAAAATCCTGCAAAGCCTCCTGCCATGTTGCCACAACACGTGATATAAATGTTCCCAAGGATAGACGTTCACGGGTGCAAGTTACACACATTTTCACCAGCAGCCCCGCTCACTGCTTCTCAGAGTCCACTGAGGGCTAATTTGAGCAAACTGACGAAGATGACAGAAGCCAAGAGGCTCAGTGAGAATCTGGAGCTGAACGACACCACCACTCTGTGGGGACTCTGCAACGCACGACAAGCTTTCTTAAAACACACTGAGCTCAGTTTGAAGTTTTTGTAAACACACAAACATTTTTCTGCATAAGCCTGACAGACAAATGTTATCAACACAGATCTGTCATTAAATGTATTCTATATTATGTTTCATTAAAACTCAGAAATAACAAATATACTGTACACAATGTACTGAATGTCCAGAGATCCATTTCAGAAAAACAGAGCAGAACATTCAGGACGGCTTTAACATTTTATAGTAAGTGATAATGAAAGATGTTTTAAAAGATTGAACGCACAATTAAATGTTTTTATATTGAAATATAAAAACATTTAAGGGGATCATTCAAAACCCACTGATCACTGTGCACAGAGTTAGCAGTTACATGGAGTTTAGTGCCGTCTATTTGAAAGGTTAATATGGAAGTAGTTAGCAGAGTTTTTGGTAAATCTATAGTTTTAAAAGCCCTAAATAAAGTACTGCTGTGGTGTTTATTATGTTACTGTATGTTCACTTGTTTTAATTACACAGACTGATTAAATAAATACTGTTTATCTTTCTTTACAATCTTTCACATACATGGGGTTGATGTTCATAC